AAACATATCTGTTTCCATGTTCATTGTAAATTTATATGTAGTTTGAGACGGCTTTCTGTTGATCATACTCATATCGTCTTGTATAAAAATAGATTATCAGGGGAAGAAATAATGCCATGTCACAATATTAAGCTTATAGTCCTTAAGACTTTTAATGACTTGGATAAATTTTTCTCTTTTTTATTAATCATATCCTTGAGTGAAACAATAGTAATCAACTGAAAATAGTGCTGATCTACTTTGGGTAGTAGTTGTAACAATGAAGGAATGATCTTAAACATGGTTTTGTCAATTGCTATTTATAAGACATCTTTCAAAAAACCTCAAAGTAGTCACCACAAATGTGGTAACGGTATCAAATAAATAAGTTCTCAATGCCATAAGATATCTTTTTTCATTTCTCTAATATGAATGAATGAGTATAATCAAGAAAGTTGAGCCATTGAACTTATTATCTATGTTTTAATTATATGCTAAATGACAAAGTTTCTTTAAATAATTTTTCATTCGATGGCTATAACTCATCAAACAATTGGTATTGGCGAAATGCTTCAAAATGAATCTTTCAATGCATCAAGTCTATGATACACAAAGAATGAGCAGTGCTTAGAGCCTGAGAATACTACTAGAACCTATGAAAGGCTGCATTGTTGTAATATACTGATATTAGTACAAGCAAAAAACAAGCAAAAATATCCAAGGAATAGTTCGAGAGATAAGAAAGAGAGAAGAAAATCTTCTGTTGAAACTTGACAATATAATTTAGTTTTTGGATCTCATATATTCAGATTCTTTCTTTTTTTGAATTGATAAGAAATTGAGAATTTAAGATGTCTTGAAAATCCCAGGTAACCAAAATCGCAGCTGCTTCAGATATCGAAAAAAACTTGATATCAATTTCAGCACGATGAGTACTCGTTCTTGTTGTAGTTTTCTTCATTTTTAAAATACTCGTATATAAATTTTTTTTTCTTCTCTAAAGGTCACATCGAAATAGTCAAGTACTTGATTGAGATGATTGAACTCGAAGTCGATACAATTGGTGATCGTCGACTTACACCTTTGCATGTGGCCTGTGAGAATGGATATCTTAACATAGTTGAATATCTTCTCGATAAGCGTGCATCAACTACATTACGAAATGCTCGATGTTACAATTGTTTAGAAATAGCCATTACTAATAAACAAGCAGATATTGTTAAAAAGTTTTTCGATCACCCAACATGGCGGGAAATGATGCGAAACGCTCAGCCAATTGATAATACTGAAGCTTATGATACCCCTATGCGAAAACTAATCCGATATTTACCTGATGTGGCTATTTGGGTCATTGAGAATAAACTTACAGGTGTAATTGGTGGACCTGGACAAAAAATACACAAAACCGTCTATGATTACGAATTCTATGAAGATATGTGCGTTGTGAGGGATTGGTATACTAAAGGTAGGTACCACATCGAAATCATTTTTTACATTTGCATTCGAAAATGAAGTTGGACCTTCAATCGAGAAGTACAAAAAACAAATTTCTTTCGAGGGAATTAGTCGAGGAACCTTTACACACAAAATGCCAAAGTATTACCATATTTTGCTCAAGAATCTATGCAGTACTCTCAGATCACATTGAAAGTCAAATATCGGTTTTTCCTTCAAATTGTACATTACTAAGACTTTTAATAAGACTAATTGATGATGATAGTTTCACTCCTTTGAGTTATTTCTATCTTTAAATAGGAATATTTCAAAGTTGGTGGTTTTACCCAACAGATTGTGTCTCTATGTACATATGTACCGACACAACAGAATGAAAAAGGTTGAAAGTCTTCATCATGAAAAGTTTCAAACAAAACTTTCGAGGCTAACTTTCAAGATGATCTAAGGAGTAACATACAGATTGCTTAAAAAGTATGCTAATAAGATGCAAAAAAATCGATCCTACCACAACATTTTATTTTTCGCTAACTGAAAAAAACTATATCTGCTTAATCCTTTATGGTGATCACGAATATGATAATTATCTAGTTTCAACATGTGTTACAATCTAAAAAACTTAAATTATTTGTCAACTTTCCTGCTTTGAATGCATGGATGACAGTTATTGCACTTTTCGTCAATCAAGCAGAAAAAGCAAGAGGATGATGCCAGGTTTTTGTTGTTCATCGCATGTCTGTTCCAATCATTTGAGGAAAAAAAGCCGAAATCAGTTTAAAAGATGAAAAATGAACTTGTTTTATGCTAGCTATGATATGAATGTACCTTTGAAAGATCGTATCCTTGCTCAATATTCCGCGAAGAATGAACTCGAAAAAAATGAAATCTCTTTACTCAAGAAACTTTTCTAAACATTTAAGTAGTTGCTGTTCTTACTCGAATTAACTTGCTTTATGAAATCATATACCGATCAACGGGAAATACGACGTTGTAATAAGTTTGATTTTCTGCCACTTTACTTTACTAGTTTAGAAAAGAAGATTCATGGATACATATCCTCTTTTGGTTATTATTTACATCTAATCATCTATCTTTATTAAACAGTAGCTCAGCAGGGATGTGACAGTTCAAGGTAGGTTCCCTCGTTAATCAAACAACAAACGTTTGGAGAAAGATCTTTATCATAGATAAAGACATCTCTCTCGCTCACTTTCATTGTTAGTCATGTTAACTGCGCATAATCAAGAATGAGCTATGAACAGTAGAGACTATTTTGAATTATGTTATTGTATCGTTTTCATGAAGCGGTTTTGATAGATATCCACATATTAGAAGATAATCTCGACTTTGCTGGAAAATACAAAAGTTTGAAAAAATAACATTTTTACTTTTATATGTTCATAAGATCGCGAGTTTTTAGTTTCGACTAATTTATTTTCAATGTTAGTTTCTTGAAAGACTCAATTGAAATTCTTGCCCTTGCCATGGCGTTCTAACATTTTCCGAACGACAGTTCTCTAAAAGTTTTGCATGATTAGATTCTATTGTCTAAAATTCTATACCAATAGCCTTCGTTTGCTAAAAAAGAAATGCATATTGATCGATAAATTGAAAGATTCAGCTACCTACGGCATTAAGATTTTCCGATTCAAAAGATACTTATTTTATTTCTGAGCTTGATTGGATCATTGAGTCAGTTATGGGTCTTAAGAAATGGGTTTAAGTTATAGTTCCAAAGTCTAACGTCGATAAAAGACAGATTTCATATCAATAATCACAATAGTTATTTCCACCACACTGAATCCCCCGAATTTTGTTTCCACTGACATCATATTAGGTGTTTGTTTTATGTTGCTCGGAGAAAATGGTTGCAAAAAAAGTGATTTTCTAGAATTTTTTTTCGGAAAAGTCTGTCATTCAAGTGAAAAAATGTTTTTCTAGTATCATTTCCGAAGGCAGGAAGTACCACTAGCCCTTTTCACGTCTCTGATAATAACGAGTTGACTACTTTTTTATCCTAATTGATCTTCTTGTTGTAAGAGAAACATTCCTAAGACATTCTATTGTCATATTCGTCGCAGAATTGTTAACCTTTTCGTTTTCTCCGTGAATATTGCAATTTTCCTATAATGCCTAATTTCATTCTATAAGTAATTTATATTCTTGAAAAAAAATATGTCTTAAAGTAATTCGTCAAATATACATAATTACCAGCACTTCAACGTGGCTATTTTCCATTGTTCTTTTGCTGCTTTGAAAATCAACATGTAACATAAAACTGAAGAAAAACATTTAGAACTCATCTGAATGTAGAAACAGTGTAAAATAGATTTGCAAGTTTCGCGAGGTTTTTTTTCGCTTTTTTACTAGTAAAAATACATTCTTCTTATTCAATGAATTAGTAACCATGATCCAGAGCCAGCTAAGCAGAGAACAGGAATCGATTTATAGACAGATTGTTGTTTGAAAGATGCCTGTAGCAAACATAAACTTTATCCATACGATATAGACAATCCTACTTGTGAGGATTCTCATGGAAACTTTCTGAATATGGAAGTATTTTATGCATTTTTTACTTTTCGCAACGAACATAGTGTAAAATATCCTATCCTAGCTATGCGAACGAGAACTTGAAACATTAGATGAAACAATATTATTTGATTTGAAATGTTCTCACTTAGGTATTGAACTGCCGAAAGGGCCTACAACGTGCGCAGAGTTGTGGCATAACCGTGGGGTCGGCGCCATTTTTACTTGTTGGTTTTGTTTCAGAAAAATTCTTCCTGAGCGTTGCTTTGCATGTGACTCACAAAACGCTGGTATATTTGAAAAATACTACACAAATGATGCTTATACAATCGTTCGTAATCATCCGCTATTTATTGCGAGCTCACAGAAGACATGTCCAAAGCTTGTTGAACATTCTTATAACACATTTTTGCGTCAAGCCAGACTTCGATCATTTGGTCTCACTTTATTCATCATCTCATTTTTTATCTATATCGCTTATCTCGCTTTGTTGACCACAGTAATACTTAATGGAAAGCATCCACAATATTTCTATAATAGAGCCAACATAACTATGACGGTCGATTTAGCCACATGTGAAAGTGTGAGTAATTATTTCCTGAATAATATCGATCGAACTGATGAAGCATTTAAAACGGATCATTACAAAAGAATTAAAGTGACACTCTATGTAATAATGTCAAGTTTCATCGTAAAGAATATCATCCTTATATCGGCTTTGTTTCCAAAAGTATTTCGTACAGGTTCCTCTTACGTCGAGATATCGGCACTTGTTCTTACCTTTGTGTATGCTCTCGATTGGTACCCCTGGCAATCTGAAATTATGTTTCGCTGTCCAATTCAATATCAGTTAGGCGCGATGGGTACTCTTATTGCATATATCAATTTTCTAGTATATATTCGAACAGCTCCGATTTTCAATTTGGGAGTGTATATTGTTATGCTTCAAGTGATTACGAATAAATTCATTCGTTTTCTTCCTGTTTTACTTATCGTCATTTGTGGTTTCGGTTTCACCTATTGGATGCTTTTACAGAATCAAACTGTTTATGGGACACCTCTTGAAGCATTGTTACGTACTAGTTTGATGCTTTTCGATTTGGGATATGAAGATCGCTTGTACAAACCGGATGAAGGCGGTGTGGGATATTATAAATTAGTTTACGTTATATTCATGCTTACAGCAATTGCTTTCTCTATCTTCTTTATCAATTTATTAATTGGTAAGTTCTATCTTAATAATAATTCGTTTCTAGAATATTTCATTTGAATAGGAATAAATTATGATTGCAGAAAATGATGATTCATTGAATAATATATTTAGGAATGTTTAATCTTTACAGAAATCTTATTTAGATATGCTTTAAGGAATGTAGATTCTTTTTCTTGATCAATAGTCGAACTAATCGAAAAAATGCTGAAAATGTAAGAGACATCTAAAAATTAGACAGTAAACAAACTTTGATGAACAATTACATCTCATTCAAAAGACCATATAAAATAATTTTTTTTTCTAATAGGTTTGGCTGTTGGTGAAATTCCATCCTTGATGACACAAGGATCATTGTGGCGGACAGAACTACTCTACAATCTACTTTCAGACTATGAAATAATGCGAGTTCAGTTTACTCTTTTCTTCAGTACTTTATTTTCTTGCGCATGCTGTAAGAAGGGAACTTCATGGTTTATTTCTAAACCGTATACAGTTTTGCAGAAAGATGAAAATGTAGGTCCTATGGGTAAACTCGATGAAGCTGGAAAGTATATAGAAAAACATTTTTTCACTCAACAAATCCAAGATAATATTGATCAAAAAGATGAAGAGAGCGTTGAAGAACAACTTCAAAATATCAAGCAATTAATTCAAGACAACGGCAAACCTTCGAAGTACTCTGTCGTTGAAGCAGTATAGTACATAAGATATCCATGATTTTTCTCTCTAATATAAACTTTACTGACACTCGTTCATTATCATTTCTTTATTTTTCGATCATGATGAATAGAATATTTTTCTGTAAAAACAGTTCTAACTATGTTTGAATAAATTAATGAGCCATACTAACAAATATATGGGCTGGATGTGCAGTGTGACTGTTGGTGAAGAGAAGATTCACTCCCTTTATGATATGTGAGCAATGAAAATCTTTTTTGTATAAAGTTTGTAGTTTCTTGTAAAACAAATAACATTTGAAACATTTGGGAGAGAGAAACTTCATCAACATTTCATTTTCTAAAGAAATATTTACTCGTCAAGATCAGCTATTTGAAGAATTTTCCAAGTAGCTTGTTTTTCACGAATAATCCTCCATATGATACATACATTTCCCAGCCTATTTTTTCATCTCAGTATATTCGCATCGGTAGATCATATTTAGTCTCTTCTGTCCATAAATTGTTTTCAACAACATTAAGAAAACTTTCTCATTTGTTGTACATTAAATGATGCTGCAGTCGTATAGACTTTGCTGTGTCATTCATACAGAGTTGCCGTGAAAATGTATTCATAATGATGACGATTATGATGAAATATAGACAATTAAACAGATATCAGTGACAAAATATTAGATGAATAAACTATCGAAATCATCTTAATTGCAAAAAAATTGATTTCAAATGAAAATTACATTTATGGGAAAAGGGTTTAATTTGTTCATTTCTTCGTCTTTTTTATGCATTTCGACGTTTACTCGTAATATATCAGAGTCTACCATAAGGTTACCCGTCGCTGAAATCAACAACTTATTTTTTTAAGTGAAAGTTCACGTTTGATTTGCATTTCTATTTTGTTGCTAGCCGATGAAACATTGTGATCTATAATAAAAAGATAACACAGAAGACAATATTTGATGATTCACTCTTTTTCAGATAGTGATTTATATTTTCAGTTATAACTTTTACCGAATTAATAACGTTTAGCGACCATAGCTGGAAGAAATACATATTTTCAAATAAAATTTTCAAGTTTTATTTGAGAAAAATAATATAACAATCTAACGTAATATGCATGTTTCGAGGAAGAATCGTTAGTTTTAAAAGTGTCTGTTTAAAACTATTTGATTTAATATCATTTATCTGATGAAATGTTCTTTTATGAGTTTTTTCAAGTTATGCAAGTTTCAGTTTAGTTTCAAGTAGAATGTGTTGTGCTTCAATTTTGGCAACATTTTTAGCATTCTATTTCATTGTTGTCTCAGTTAAACAAGTGGCATTCTAATTATTATAATCTTTATTCTAATGGACAAATCGAGGGTGTGGATATGAATCATACTTAGAAAAAAGCACGCCAACATTCATATTTGTTTTCCAATGAGTATACTACCTTTCTTTTTGTGGAACTCACATATATTTTCGAAGAAAATAGTGAGTGTAAGTTTTAAGGTCAAGTTTTTGCGGCTCCCCCCCCCCCCCCCATTACAGACACATAGCAACGAGAAAAAAAGGTTCTACTCGAAGTATATAAATGAAAAACGACAACATTTCCTAACAATCAATTATCATTAGAAAAGAATTATCGTCTCTGAGAGAATTTAAACATTATATATGTTCCCATCAGCAAAGTGAAAGTAAAGAAGATATGTGAGTTCCACATTTCAGCCCCAAAGGGGCTGCGCTAACAAGCTTTCTTACAGGTGAATTATAGATTTGGCATAAACGATTTTACTGTGTCAAAGCAATGGAAGATCAATAAATTTTAACTGATTCTATTCGAACATCGTCGATTGTCTCATCGTTATTGCGTCGTATTCATGGTCAAACTGGAAAATCTCAATACCTGCAAGACTTAAAAAAGGAGTTATAAGTCTATTTGTTTGTGTCACTGTCATGTGCTTTTTCCGATGACCTACTCGAAAACAAATGAACTTTTTTTTTTATATAATTGGTTTGTTTTACACATTGAAATATCATACAGATCTTATTTGCTTGGTCAATCATCTGATTTATTCTATCTGGTTCGACATTCCGATATGGATATGTCGGACAAAAAAATTTACGTTCATTTACCTTTGAATAAACAATTTTTTTTTCAACAATATGATCTGTATCGTTTTGACTTATCGAGTCAATATACATTAGAATGTATTGTTCGACAACTTGAATTTTCACCGTAAGACAAATCGACATGGATTCAAAATATTGAAGAAACGTATCAAAAAGTTGCAACACTATTCAATAAAAATGTGATAATTCAATGTAGTATTCTAATTGATTATTTCACTCAATCAACTAGTGATTCTGATATTGTTAAACATTTGATTGAATATAATCTGATAAAGAGTTCCATTTATATATTCGATATTTCATATGGTCTCAGTGTTGTCTTCATAACTTTACTCACATTTTCTGCTGTCCGTTGTATATTATTATCATCATGTCAGGATAGTCAATTATTAAACCTAATTCATCCTATACTTAAAAACCAAATGGAAGAAGGTCATATAGATTCAGTGAAAATATTTGATGAACTTTTATCACATTCAAATTCGTTTAGTAAATGTCATAATCGATTGTTTTCAATTCGTAGTGATTACGTCCTTATGTTCATGATTGATCCAAATGAAGATAACCTGGAAATCCTTAGACAATGCTGTGATGAAGTTCTGATTATAATTATTTCTATTGCTAATATAATTCGAATTTGATGTGACTATATTGTCTCTATAAACGATAATTATACTCAATCCTTTTATTTTCCACATGTTTCATCGTTGATTCAATTTACTCCATCGAATTGGTTGCATCAACAATTAATGAATAAGAATTATTTCTAAAGACATCTTCAGCCACTGAACGAGTGTGTTTTCATTTCAGATGAATATATGAAGAGTTGCTGAGTTGATAAAATCGCTAATTGAGATTAGAAAAATATATTATTGATGTTTTAGCTATCAATGAGAATTAAATATTCGATAAAAAATTTTCTTTATTCAACTTTCAAGAATATCTATTGATAATCTACATGAAAAATAAATCTTGATATTAATTTCATTTTTATCTATCTATATTTCTTGGCCACTCCGCAAGTTCTGATTCCGTTTATTCAAATAAAATTTTCTTTTAATTTTTCATCTATGAATGAAAATAACGAGTACGAAATTGGATTGAATCGAAAAATTCTTGTAAGAAGATTTCAATATTTATATTAATTATATGTTTGATTTCTAAATTGTTTATCAAAGGATAAAGTCGAAATAAAAATTCAACATTTGCCATATTGTCGATTTCTTTTATATAAATTGATTTATTTTGACAATTATATATCTTTTCACCAAGAATATAAATTTCTTTGATTAATTCTATAGTACCTCGATCTAATTCGAATGAATGAAATTTTAATGTTAATAAATCAGGTAACAAACTTCGAATTTGAATTAATAAAGTAGATGGCATATGTTTCATAAAAATATCTAAATAATAAATTTGTATAGTAAATAAAACATGACGTAAGTCATTTTTTATCATATCCTTACATGATTTATAAGAGTTCATCAAAATTAAAGAAGTTGATGATGAATATTTAATATTTTCATGTTCTAGAATATCATATCATATTTTTCTAAAAGAAGATTTATTAATTTTTTGTTTAAAAAAATTCTTTATGAATGTATTTATATGAGTAAATGATATAATTGATATTTCTACTATCAATAATTATTTTAAATAACCATTTTCGTTGAATCCAAAATAATGAAGAAAATGGATTTAATCCAAAAAATATTGAATATTGATTAGAATTCTCCTTCAAATGAGAATATGTCAAATGGAATTTGTCTAATTGAGGATAATAGTATAAAATAAACTGTTCCCATCGATGAGCATTAAAAAATTTAAGATGATTTGAACAATAACTAGGTAAGATTTTAAAGTTTGAACTTGAACATAACTTAGTTGAAGATATTTCATTATGGTGTGGGTTGGGTGGGTGTGTCGTGTTGGTGTCGACTGAGAATAAAATACCCATCCAAACACACCGATACCCACACCCACCCCCAACGATATTGATCC